TATTTCAAGAGTCCAGCTCTGTTCTGGCTGTAACGAGGTGAGAACCACATTGGACCCGACAGAAACCAAATGGAGCATCAGCACACAGGTCATTCCTTTGCAATGATCACTTGCTAGTACTTGTGGAGAGGTGATGGCCCAGTGGTATTATCACTGGATTGTTAATCCAGGGACCCAAATAATATCTTGGGAACCTGGGTTCGAATCCCACCACAGCAGTTGGTGGAATTAAGAGCCTAATAGTGACCATGAATCTGTTGTCGATTGTTAGAAATCCCCATCTGGTTCACTAATTTTTTTTTTAAGGAAAGGAAACTGCCATCCTTACCTGCTCTGGCCAAATGGGACTCCAGACCCACAGCAGTGACTCCTCCCAGCTTTCGGGGTCTGATAATAAATGCTGGCATAGCGATACTCTCACCCCTTGAATAAATTTTTTTAAATTGTCAACAACCCCTTTCCTCAATTGGTTGATGATTTAGAGCAAATGAAAGGGCAATAAGTTGCCAGTTTGTAATAGTTTTACATTTTGTAGACATATCTGGGTAGTTTCATAAATCATAGAATCCCTACAGTGTGAAAACAGGCCCTTCGGCCCAACAAGTCAGAGCATCCCACCCAGACCCATCCCCTCTACACATCCCTGGACACTACGGGCAATTTAACATGGCCAATCCACCTAGCCCACGCATCTTCGGGCTGTGGGAGGAAACCAGAGCACTCAGAGGAAAACCACGCAGACACGGGGCAAACATGCAAACTCCACACAGACAGTTGCCGAGGGTGGAAGCGAACGCAGGGTCCTAGCACTGAAGCAGCAGTACCGCCCTTTGTTGGGAGTATACTGGGCACTGGTGAGGTCTCACCTGGAATACTAAGTGCAGTTTTAGTCTCCTTAATCGGAGGAAGGATGTTCTTGAATCACAGAATCCCTACAGTGTGGAAACAGGCCATTCAGCCCATTGAGCCCACACTGACCCTCTGAACAGCATCCCACCCAGACCCAGACCCAGACCCACATTCCTACCCTATCCCTGTAACCCTGCATTTCCCATGGCTAACCTATCTAACCTGCACACTATGGGCAATTTAGCATGGCTAATCCACCTAACCTGCATATCTTTGGGATGCAGGAGGAAACCCACACAGACAAGGGAGATAATGTGCAAACTCCACAAGAGACAGTCACCCAGGGCTGGAATCGAACCCAGGTCGCCAGCGCTGTGAGGCGGTAAAAAAAGGGTATCATATAGCATAGGCAGTGATTTGACCCAATGTGCTTGAGGAAGGTCTTCGAAAGGGCTCAGTATTCATCCCACTCCCCTGATCATTCCCCAAGCACCTTCTCCTAACCTCATAACACTTTCCTGTTTCTCCCCTGCCAAGTTCAGTATTTCCCTAATTGTGATGTTTCAAACAACAAAAACTCATGATGTAGAAATGATTTGGGGATGTTCAGAGGCTATTTAGTCAGAATGGAAAAAACAAATGGGATAAGTTACTTCCTTTGACTTTTCAAGAGACCTACATTGAAATCTATGAAATAGTAACTGAAGTAGACATTGCAATCTGACTAAGGACTTCAGTGATGAGCAACTTTAACAGTAGACCAAGAGAAGCTTCCACACAAACAGCAAGAGACCGAATCTGAAGACTCAGCTTTGAAGATCATTGGTGAAAAAAGCAAGGACAAGTATTTTCACAGTTATGAAAATAGGAGGTAGTGGAAGCAAATCCAATTATAAAACATTTAAATAATTCAAGTTTGCATCCAAACTTCTAGAGTTACAGAGCAAGAGGAAAGAACAGACCAGTGGAATTACTTGGATAGCTCTTTCAATTGAGCTGGTACAGACACAATGGCCTCAATGGTCTCATTCTCCACGTATGATGCAACAATTAAGCCGGTCCATTCTCTCCACAGAGGTGACTGACCTCCTAAGCGTTTGCACTATTTTCCAACAATCTCACCAGCTCTACATCTAGTTTGCCCTCCTCCAGCCCAAATGACATTGCTGTAATCGAATTGTCAACAGTTGAAATTCTAAACTACAGAACAGCTGGGTTAATCTTGAATCCCCAACTTTCAACTGAACCAAAGGCAGAATCATTAAAACACAGGCAAATCCAACTCTGGCCACACAAGAAATATTCCTTTGTGTCACAGATGGCAAATCTTAAGCTCAGCAGCAACTGCTTGAAGTCTTTATTGGAAGAAATCACTGGATGCAGCCTAAATCAAGAATTCTTCAGTTTCTGAATTACAGCAAGAGACAGATGAGTGCAGCACACTGAAGTATCAATATACACAAGATACAAAAATTGCAGCCAAGAGCAAAACCAAAGATAGAATTTAATATCCTTAATGACAGGGAGAAGAAAACTACACGTCCATTTTCCAAAACAGAATGCATCTTAAAGTACAGTGCAACAAAAACTTGTTTTCAAAAACGTTATCTGCAACCATCTTCCATTTAACAAAGAGAGACATTTGTAATTTAAATCCTGACTGAAAGAATTCCATTTTTCAAAGCATTTGCTAGATCTTCAAAAGTTAAACATTATTTGGGAAGGTTATGCAGCCAGTCTTAGCTCATCTATCCAAAAATACCTAGTCAGCCCTCATGACAGTTACCAGGTCTTTTCTAAAACAATTAAATGCTTTTCTGGCTGCACTGTCTTTAAAATTTACAGGGAATGGTTCTCACATCTGTGCAGATGTGACTTGAATTTCATTTGTGTTCTAGATATTTTCTAAATCAACTTGTTGAGGGATGTTATGACACCAGTGGAGCAGGTGGGACTTGAAGCTGGGCCTCCCATCTCAGTAGGTAGGGACACTATCACCGGACCACAAGAGTTTCCATCATTGTGTGATGGTGCAGAAACAACGTTGATGCTCTGCAACCAAAACCCACATTTTCTGCCACTCTAATGCTCACATGCAAGTCCGACTCCACAGCTTGACGGCCAAGGAAGGTGTGTTCATAACAAAGCCAAACAAGTTGGGCATCAACTCGTCAATCCTTCCAACACACACCAGCAGCAGGGAGGAACAGTGGAAGAGTTTTCTGGTCAGCCACACGATGGAAAGAACATTGGGGTTGCTGCCATTGCTATTCCTAGCTCCGACACGGAATGTTGCAATAGCATAGGGTCCCATCCTTGTCCTGAGTGGGGTGGACTCAGGTACGGCCGAGAGGCAGATCCTATTAGTGGAGGCTGATAGCGTGAGAGAAAAATTTTGGAAAAGATTTTAAGTAAGAACTGGGAGTAGGCAACATAGCTCCTTGAGCTTGTCCCACCATTTAATACAATCATAGCTAATCCCATCTCTGCTTCAACTCCATTTTCTTGCCTGCACTCCATCACCCTTCAATCTATTACTTCAAAAAAAAAAAAAAAAAAAAAAAACTGTCTGTCTATCTCCTTCTTAAAATTTACTCACTGTCCTGGCATCCATCGCACTCTGGGATAGTGAATTCCACAGACTCATTGCCTTTCGAGAGAAGTAATTTTTCCTCATCTTATATTTCATCTGTTACCCTTTATCCTAAAACTACAACCTCTCATTCTAGATTGCCCCAAGTGAGGAAGCATCCTCTCCAAGTCTACCCTGTCAATCCCCCGCTTCGCACTTTATGTACCTTGAGTTCATTTACAAGTTGCTGTCTGAGCAAGGGGCTTTGACACCCAGATAAATTAGTTCTTTTTCTAAAATATAAAGAACGCAAGTCAAGTTCCTTATATTCTCCCCTAGAAGAGCAATATTATGTCCTAAAATGGTGCCAAGTTCATTGGAAGAAGGACAGGCTACGGACTAAAATATGGTTACCAGTGTCAGTTTCACTAGCTTCAATACCTCCATCAGGCTGGATATGACATGAACTTTGTGAATGTCAAAGCAGCCCAAATGGGCCAATTTCTCTTTTTCATCCAAGCCAAATGCCAGGAGTGAAAAAGAGCATTAAGAGATTTTATAAAAGCTCTTACACCACATTAGAGCTCTTAATACTGGTGATGAAAGTGTACCATCCCTGATAGGTACAGTTGTTGCTTTGATGACCTCTTGCTAATAAAAGGTATCTTAATAGATTCAGAAAGTCTGAACTAACAAGCAGTGCAGGGTGTCAAAAGATCAAGCTAATGGGAGAAGAAAAATGCTGTTGTTACTTTCAGATAAAGAAACATTAAGTAATGCAACAGATGTTATAATACAGTAACTTGCCTTTATTATTTAAGAGCAAAAGTTTAAATTTTAAAATCATTCCTTTGCCCAAACCAAAAAGTGAATATTATTTTCGATAGTGGTTCGAATGCAAAACATTTAGTTTTTTGGCTTCTTTAATTCTTCTGTTAAGAAATACATTATTCAGAGGAAATTTCACTTGGGGCAGTGACAACCCATTAAGACCTTCCGATGTAGTATTCTGCACATTTATATATTTAATATTTCCTCTGAGCTGTTACCGAGTTAGTAGAACATGACTACCAACCCCACTGCTAACCACCATATCGCCCAATTTACAAAGAAAGTCCTGTAACCTCCAGGAATACAGACTGAATGCCGAGAATTAGTTACAAACATGGTGGATAGCAGGTTCTCCTTCGTGCCATAAATTGCTCTACATTTGTAATATTCTAAATTATCTGAGGGGGGAGGGAGCAGGTAGAATGAGCAGGGACATGGTGGATGGGTAGCACAAGAATGGATTCTGTGGAGTGTCAGCACAGACAGGATGGGCATAATGGCCTCCTCTGCCCTATAATACCCTGATGATTGAGAAAGAAGACAAACATGTGAAAGAAGACAAACATGTTAAATAAAACTGGGCCCTGGTTTAAAAGGCAAAGGGTTGAACATCATGGGCACTGAGAAATGAAACATAATACAAGGGGAAAATAAAAACAAATTTGAGTCATCAAGTAAAATCCATCTACCATCACTAAAGATATTCCAGCTGTCTGATTAATTCAACCTGCCTAGAGAAATCCCTTACCTTTGCTGGGTTGATGACAATATTCCTGGCTGAACCATGCTCATCTCCAGAGAAAGCAGGCTGATTGTTAAAACCCTGCTTTACATTCACTGCAGTCAACTCGTCCTACAAAATAAGAGACAATGGATCAGTTCAACAGAGTCGAATTTGTGAAATGCTGCGCTGATGATTGCAGAAAAGAGCCTTTCCATCTACAAACTGTATTCATTAAAGTCAAGACACATCCAACTGAAAAATGTAGTAGTCAAGGGTATGGAGACCATCCTTATGTACAGACAAATTTATTTCTGAACATTAGCTTGCAGTCTTGGTAGTTGTTCCGAAAGAAAGACTGCTGAATTGGTATCTTTCTGCTTTGTCATGGAATGGCGTCTTTTGTTTACTCATTATGCAAGCAGATTTATTCCCAAACAAAAAAAATACACATACATGCAGACTGAATATAGCACATACTAACGGTTGGATTTTCTGGCATCCCTACCATTTTTGGCAGACAGTGGTTGGTTAGGGAATAAGCAGTAAAGCACAATTATTACCCACTTAAAGAATGGGCCTGAATTCACCCTCCGCTCCCAAAAAAAAATACACCTTCAATTCCATCACGTTATCGTAGCATTTACAAAGCTGCGTGTCCTTTCTTCTTCCATTTAAAAGGCCTTTGGATTTTGGGCAACTTGCCTTATGGTTTTTTCTTTTGAGTTATGCTGATTGGAGCTTTGTATACAAATTGACTCGGCTTTAGCAACACCAGCAGTGGCTTTCAAGAATTGTATCATCAGTTATGAACCGTCACTGTACCTTCTGCAAAGGATAATGTCATTTTGACAATGCTACATAGATACCGTGTCCTAATGACAAGTCATTGCAAACTCAACCAGAGTTTGCAATTCAACTAACTGTGGGAAAGTCTTACGCCAAATCAGTAACATGGCAGATGATAATTTAGTTGAGCCTCAAACAGGTGATACTTACTTCCTTCTTTTAAGTTAGCTCTTTGAAATACATGCACAAAAAACATCAATGGAAGGCATTCCCTAGAGTTGCATAGTCCAAAACCCTCATGCTCTTTTTTGGTCTAAAGAGATATAAACTTCACTGGAGAAGTGGTTTTCAAACACAGCATTTCAAATGATTCCAAGACACAACAAATCACACCACCTTCTGTACTAGTCTGAGCGATTCATAGTGATACACAACAACTGTTCCCCCTCCGAGACAACAAGGTGCAGGGCTGGATGAACACAGCAGGCCAAGCAGCATCATAGGAGCAGAAAGGCTGACGTTTCGGGCCTA